TGCTCCAGCCAAAGGAGCATATTCCACACTGGTGCCCATTGCCCCCTAAAGCAGAAGCTTAGACTACAGGTCAAGCTTCAGGGAGTTCTATGCAAGATGGAACTGGATACGGGTTCAGCCATGTCCATCATTTCACAAGGAACATTCAGGCACCTATGCCATCGTAGCAACAGATGGGCTAAGCTTCGGCCTCTAATCTACTACTCAAAGACTTCCAAAACTCCTGAGTGGTGGTCAAATGCGAAGCCACACTTCTGGTGGAATTGGTTCAAGAGGCCACTAGATGTCGTAGTGGTGGAAGGCCAATGCATGAGCCTCATAGGGCTTGATTGGTTTGATGCATTGGGCATTCAAGTAACTGGCATTCACCGAACACAAGCGGCAGAACTGTCTGCAGTCTGCCAAGAGTTCGCGGATGTTTTCAGTTTTAGTCTAGGGGAGTACAAGGGTCCTCCAATCGCCCTCAAGCTTGATCCTATGGTAACTCCAATACGGATCAAGCCTCGTAGAGTGCCTTTCACATTAAAACCCAAAATTGATGCAGAGCTGGATAAGCTAGTGGAACAAGGGGTATTGCAGCTCGTAGACAGTGGTGTGTGGGAGACCCCCATAGTAACGTCATTAAAGGTCAATGGGGAAGTGCGAATATGCACTGACTATAAGTGCACCCTCAACAGGGCACTTCAACAGCATGCATACCCTGTGCCTGTTGTCAGCCATATTTTGGCATCATTGCAAGGAGGCTGTGTGTTTGCCAAATTAGATTTGGCATAGGCCTATCAACAACTGCCCATGGATGAGGCCACGGTGGTAGCCCAGACCATTGTCACCCATAAGGAGGCTTTTAAGGTCAAGCGCCTACAGTTCGGGGTGAGTGTAGCCCCAGGGCTGGTCCAGCGATTGATGGAGTGCACGCTCAAGGGAATTCCAGGGGTTTGCCCCTACTTCGATGATGTCCTCATTGCTGGGGAATCGGTTGAGATTCTGGTTGAATGGCTTAAGGACGTCCTTCAGTGGTTCCGCGACATGGGACTTAAACTAAAAAAAGAAAAGTGCAAGATTGGGGTAGAGTCAACCGAGTTCCTTGGTTTCCATATCGATGCCAAAGGCATTTATCTGGCAGAATCCAAATTAGAAGCAATCCAGCAGGCCCCAAGGCCAAAGTCAAAGGGAGAGCTTCAGGCTTTCCTAGGCCTTTTGAATTTTTACCATGCCTTCCTCCCAAACAAGGCTGCAGTGGCAGAGCCATTACACCGGCTCTTGGATAGACAAGCTCAGTGGCAGTGGACCAGTGTCCATGAGAGTAGCTTCCAAGCAGTCAAGTCACTGCTGTCGTCGAACTCAGTTCTCACTCATTTCAATGAGCAGCTGCCTGTCTGCATTGCATGTGATGCATCCCTGTATGGGGTTGGGGCTGTGTTAAGCCACTTAATGGCTGATGGGAGTCAGAAGCCCATCGCATATTACTCCAGGACCCTATCGTCTGCAGAGCGCAACTACACACAAATTGACAAGGAGGCTCTGGCTATTGTGGCTGGAGTTAAAAAGTTCCATGACTACTTGTATGGCTGCCAGTTCATGGTTTTCACGGACCACAAGCCACTCCTAAGGTTGTTCATCACAAACAAACAGACACCTCAGATTCTGTCTCCTTGAATGCTGAGGTGGTCTATCTTTCTGTCAGCCTACAGCTACAGGATGACTCACAAACCGGGCAAGGAAATTGGCCATGCAGACGGCCTGAGCAGGTTGCCCCTGCCACATGTGGAGCCAGATCCAGCTCTGGATGCACACATCCTGGCTATCCAGAATTTGCCGGAATCTCCCCTTCATGCTGGGGACATAGCTGCTGAGACAGCAGCTGACAAAACACTGAATCATGTGCTAAACTGGGTACTCACAGGATGGCTGGACAAATGTCCAGGGCCAGAATTTCAGTTTCTTCATGAAAAAAGATGAGCTTTCAGCTCATAATGGGTGCATCCTTTGGGGAAGTAGGGTTCTTTAAGGCCCAGGGTCCTAGAATCTCTGCACGAGGGCCATCCAGGAATAGTCTGCATGAAGGCACTTGCGAGGAGCTACCTTTGGTGACCAGGGCTAGATAAAGCCATCAACGCCCAAGTACATGGTTGCTACACGTACCAGCAATCCAGACCGGAGATGCCGCAAGCCCTGTGCACCAGTGGGAGAACACTCACACACTGTGGTCTAGAATCCACATCGATTTTGTCAGGCCCTTTCAGGGACAGCTGTTTCTAATAGTGGTAGATAACCATTCTAAATGGTTAGAGGTCACACCAGTCCCTACTATGACCACTGCCAGGACCATCCAGGGACTGTGCAGAATCTTTGCAACACATGGACTTCCAGACGTGTTAATCTCAAATAATGGGGCTCAGTTTACCAATTCTGAATTCCAGTCTTTCCTCGGGGCAAATCTAATTCGGCACGCCACATTGGCTCCCTTTCACCCGGCCTCGAATGGCCAAGCGGAACGCATGGTCTGTACAACCAAGGAATCACTAAAACGGATTGTCACAGGGGATTGGCACCATAGACTGGCAGATTTTCTACTCTGCCAATGCACAACTCCCTGTACCACCATGGGCAGAAGCCCTGCCAAACTCAGATGGGGCTGACGTTTGATCACCAAGCTGGACAGGCTGCACCCCAACCGGTTGCCTCGGACTCTGCTCAGCCAAAGGCACTTTGGAATTTGCAAATGGGTGACCGGGTTTGGACCCGGAATTATGGGCAAGGGGCTTTGTGAGTGGCAACCGTGGTTGTTAAGGTGTCGGGATCATTCTCTTATGAAGTGGTCCTGGAAGATTGGCGAGTCATTCTCCGGCACATTGACCAGCTGCATTGGAGGCTAGCGAAGCAGTCACTGGCTCAGGCCTCTCAAGAGGGCCGCACATAAGGGCTGTGCGACAGCGGCCCAACAGAGGAGCTTGCACGCTCCAACAGAACTCTTACTCAAGGAGACAGGGAAAAGGCTGTAGGAGAAATAGAGAGACAGTATCCACTGAACAGGACTGAGGGACAGCCCTGCAGACTTTGCTGCACGATTGGACTTTGGTTTGGCTGACTGGAACTGGCCAGCCAAAAGGACCTGAGTCAACCTGACTTCACTGGACCTCAGAGTCCTGGTCTACCCAGCCGGGCAGGCAAGTGGGTAGACCAGGAGACCCCTGCAACCCCTAGATGTTCAGAATGGTCAAGAAGGTCGTCTAAATATCTGCAGGACTATATCCAGCAATTGAGAGTTTGAACCATCTAGGGGGAAGGGGTGTAATGTATTGGCCAGAACTGTTTTAAATCACTTGCTTAATGTCTGACCTACATTGCTGTATTGTTTAACAGTTGCTGTTACTGAAAGCCAGACTGGCTGTCTCCAAGCTGATAATGAGGTTTGGGGCAGAAAACTGTTACTTTAAACCTATTGGCTGCCGCTAGAGGCTAACTGTATAAATAGCTGTGCAGCAGCCTTTAGGGCTGCTTCTGTTCCGAATTAATAAACTTGTTTGCTGTTTCAACACTCTGCCTCATTCAATGCCTAAAGAACCAAAGATATAACAAAAACATTAGAAGACACCAAAGAAAATGGAGGTTTTGGGTTGCCGGAGTGGGCTTTATATTATCAAACATCTGTTTTAACATGGGTGAAAGAATGGATAATACTTAGAAATAAAAGGTTGTTATATTTGAAGGGAAATGATTGGGATGGCATGCTTTTTTGTGGTACGGAAAAAACAGAGCTCATAAGTATTTCCAAAATCCCTATATAAGAAACGCTTTGTTAATAGTATGGAAAAAAATTAAAGCTAAAATATACTGACCCAAATTTAAAAGTGTTATATTTCAAATCCAGTCAGATAGTTAACTCAAAGGAAACGATCTTATAATAAACAAATATATTTTAATGAGAAGGATTACTTGCGTTCATGTTGAGATTGGTGCTGCTGGAAATACATTTTTGTTCATCTTTCAAATCCTTTCCTTAGGTAAGAAATGTTATTGCTCTTCACACCATCTTTATAATGACTGAGGCTATTGTATGACTTCCATGGCCCATGCTTGTTACAGACAAAGAGATTCCCATGTGGCTTGTGTCCAGGAAGTCTCCCAAAGACCTTTGGAACTCCTCCCACTGACCCATCTACATACCTAGCATTTAACCCAATAACTGCCAGACCTTCCAACATAGAGCTGGGCCATATAGCTATATGGGCCAGAACACTCCCCGCTTGGAAATTTATATTTCCACTATTAAAATAGTAAAAACGTAGCATCAAGGCATGCAATACTCATTGTGGTTAACTTGTGACTAAATAGGTAAAAACTTGGTATCAAACATGCATAACTATAAGGTAAATGTCAGCCCCAGCGTGCATCCTACCCATGTACGGACGTTGGCCGGTCTCCGGAGCTCTGAACCGACTTCCGAACAGCCTTGGTGGAGCCGGAGCTCTGAACCGACTTCCGAACAGCCTTGGTGGAGCTGGATGCGGAGCAGTGTCGGGACTGATACCGGCGCTTCCGCTATGACGGAGGAACCACGTGACTGCTTACTCTATTGCACGGGAAGCCCGGATGAACAGACATTATGTGGGCGGACAGCGCTGATTTATGACGCTGGGTCTGACAGAATGTAATTGATAGGATGATGATAGGGTGTGGTGCAGATGGGGTTGCGTTCAGCAGGGGTAATTAGGTAATTGGGGGTGATTGGGGCGTGCGCGGTGGGTGTGGTGATGGGATTAATAGGACGCTGGGCTGGGGTGTTTCCCAGAGCTGATTTTGTTTTCGACATAGCGAAATAAACCTTTGTTGACTACTGAAACGTACCTGGTGTTCTGGTTGATTCTTACAGCAGCAGGACGTTCTTACAGTAAATCAGCTCTCAATTCGTCTTGCTTTTCGTGGAGCTATGGCTGAAGGGACACAGGGAGAGGAACCGGTTATGGATGTGGAGGCTGAGGAAGCTGACGAACAGTCGGAGAATCCGGACGTAGGAGTCAAGGAAGAGGAGCGTGTGGCGACACGCCCGAAGGAGAAAGGACGTTTCCCTGCGGCTGTGGAGCATGGACCTAAACGGCGCAAACCAACGTCGGCGGACGACGAGTGGTGGGCCGGAGCAGCTGCCGGTCCCTTGGGGGATGGTAGGGGGCGGCGGTTGGCACCTAGTTTCGCTGGCTGGAGGGAACGCAGGATGGCCGGAGATGACGAGGAAGATTGGAGCTGCTCCACAGCTCCAGGCCAATATACGTTAGAGGTCCTTAGGGAACAGTTTGGGGAACGGATTTACCCAGAAACCGTTCGCAGCCCTGGTAAAGATAGTACCCCTTATGTGTCCCACTTTCAACTGGCGAGCCCGGAGTTCAAATTACCGCAAGGGGGTCGGTTTACAATCCGGGATTCGATGGCAAGGCAAACCGGAACTGAGCGTCCACGGGATAGACTGGATACACGAGAGGCGCGGGCTCCACCGGAAGGTCCGGATGGAGACGGGCTGGAGAACCTGGGAGCAGGACCCAGTTCCAGGGCGTATCCAGGGATGGGTCCATATGGCGGTAGGGTACCGGCTCCATGGCCCCAGCAGATGATATGGAATCCCCCACCAATTTCCCTCACGTTTGACGGGGATCCAGACAGGTTGGCGGTATTTCTAAGCCACGTTCTTAACCATCTGGACCGTTATACAACCTTGTACTCGTCCAACTGGGCCATGGTGGTCGCGGTAACAGCGAGTCTGCAAGGTGAGGCCGCTGCTTGGGCCGCAGACCTATATAGCGACCAGGCCAGGGAGTTAGCCGATGTGGGTCTTTTCCTCGACGCACTAAAAACAAGGTTCGAGGACCCAATACGCCTGCTACGGGCTGAAGCCCAGTTAGTGGGTCTGCGGCAAGGGGGCAGACCAGTACAGGACTACATTCGAGAATTCCAAAAAGTGGCAGGGAGGCTTAGGTCATGGCCGGACAGCCTGCTAATTCATCATTTCCGCACTGGTCTGGATACCACCATACGCCAAGCATGTATAGTCCGAGGGGTGGCTGGGCGTTTGACTGATTGGTCTAGGGCCGCGGTAGAGTTGGATGTAGGATTGAGGGATCGTCCTGGAAGACGGGAGGAGAGGCCCCGCCGGAATCAAGATCAGCCTGTAGGTGGCACCAGTCCGGACGTGCTGAGTACAATACGTCCAAAGCCCACCTTCCGGTGTTTCCGCTGCAATTGGCCGGGCCACCGCGCTGCGGAGTGTGGAACACCCAAGCCCACAGGTACACCTACGGCGGTTGGCACCCCGGGTACCACATCGAAAAAACCGACAGAGAAATCACGGGTGGCCTACCAACTGGGACAGTCGCCGATCCAGCAAACACCCGATGGGGCGTCTCCTACATTACAGGAATACGAGGACGAAGGACCGGTGGAAGATCCGATGGTGAGTGACCCCATCGTCCCCTTCACCATCCCCATTTCATTGACAAACCCGGTAACGGGTGAGGTAATGCCCTGTCCGGCGTTATTAGATACGGGATGTACAAGATGCCTTATTAGTAAGGGGTTAGTACAACAGATGCGGATTAGGGTGGCCCGACTAAAGACCCCGATCCGTTTTGAGCAGGTAGATGGTTCCCTGTTGGGAGGGGTCCCCACTACATTGGTAACGGAGCCTGTTAGAATGGATATTGGGGGTCATTGGGAAATGATAAGGTTCATAGTTGTTCCCACTATGTCCGAGTCTGTTATTCTGGGATTAGCGTGGATGGATAAGTGGACACCAACCATTTGGTGGGCGGAGGGGTCCAGACACCTACGGCTAGCAGTAGGTCCGCATCCGCGGTCGCCAGATGACTTGAATAGGGATAGAAAGTTAAACGCTTCACGATCGGTACAGGAGAAGGACAAAACCCCATACCCACGGGTATATGACGATCTCGCGGCAGTGTTTAGCGAACAGGAATGTGATAGTTTGCCGCCGCACAGACAGACTGATTGTGCAATCGAACTCGCTCCAGGAGTTAAGCTACCCAAACCCAGAATGTACCCTATGACGTTTGCAGAACTGCAGGAAATGAGAAAGTACATTGATAAGAATCTAGCCAGAGGCTTTATAGAACCAGCACGTTCGAGAATAGCCGCTCCAGTTATATTCCAGGGAAAAAAGGACGGGGGATTGAGGTTATGTGTAGACTTCCGAGGTCTGAACGCAGTGTGTATAAACCAAGTATATCCCCTGCCGCTTATGAAAGACCTGCTCACTCATTTGGCGGCTGGGAAAATCTTCACAAAACTAGACCTCCGTGAGGCATACTATAGGGTACGCATTAGGCAAGGGGACGAGTGGAAGACAGCATTTAACTGTCCCCTGGGCAGCTACCAATTCAAGGTGATGCCTTTCGGGTTACAAGGAGCGCCGGCCGTCTTCATGCAACTAATAAATGAAGTATTACATGATCATCTATATAGGGGCGTCCTTGTCTATCTGGATGATATACTCATCTATTCGCAGACGTTAGAAGACCATGTACAATTAGTACGGACAGTACTGCAAAAGTTGTTAAACGCCAACCTGTACTGTAAGCTGTCAAAGTGCGAGTTTCACAAAGACCGGATAGATTATTTAGGGTTCAGGGTGTCAGCTATGGGGATAGAACTGGATCCTAATAAAGTGCGCAGTGTTCTAGAATGGCAGGCCCCGAGGACCCGTCGTCAACTGCAGAGATTCTTGGGGTTTGCCAATTTCTACCGCCAATTCATCCCCTCTTTCGCTGATGTGGCTCTACCATTAACTCAACTGTTGCGCACCAAAACCACACCTGGCAAACCCCATCCCAAACAGGCATTGGAATGGACGGTAGCTTGCCAACGGGCCTTCGAGTCTCTTAAACGACTATTTGCAGAGGAACCAGTGCTATTGCACCCCGACCCAAATAAGCCATTTATAGTGCAGGTCGACGCCAGTGATGTGGCTGTCGGCGCACTCTTGATGCAACGTAACGGCCAAGGCAACTTGCAACCGTGCGCATACACCTCCAAGAAGTTTACCGACCCCGAGAGACGATGGGCAGTGTGGGAGAAGGAAGCATTTGCGATAAAATGGGCGTTGTCCACCTGGCGACATCTTTTGGAGGGTGCGCAACACCCATTCGAGGTGTGGACGGACCACCGGAACCTGGCGGTCCTCCAGACTCCAAGGCGATTGGCGCCGAAACACGTTCGATGGGCGCAGTATTTTCAGCGTTTCCGGTTTCACCTGAAGGTGGTGCCCGGAGGAAAGAACTTCCTAGCAGACGCACTCTCCCGGCTACCACAATATGATAGTAAAAAGGAACAAGTGATCCAGACCATTATGCCGCTATGTAGTAGGGATCCTGCACACGTAGAAGGATGTGCCAAAGTGGTGACGTTTGAGGAGGAACTGCAAACTGTATTGTTGACCGATCCCTGGTTGCAGGCGAATCCCGGGTTATTAACCCAGCGTGATGGCTTGGCTTGGTATAGGAATAGGTTATACATCCCCCAGGAAATGCGTCATCGGGTACTTCATCAATGTCACGACTCGAAGCTGGCAGGCCATTTTGGCTTCGTCAAGACGCTCCATTTGGCGAGACGACGGTTCTGGTGGCCCAGTTTACGGAAGGACATTGAGCGATACGTTAAGGAATGTAGGATTTGCGCGCAGTCTAAAGTGGTACCAAAGAGGCCAATGGGACTGCTACAACCGGTATCTAATCCGATCCGACCCTGGCAGGACATCGGGATGGATTTCCTTGTTGATTTACCGAACATCAGAGGGTACACGGTCATATGGACGGTTGTGGACTTGTTCTCGAAGCAAGCACATTTCGTCCCCTGCAAAGGACTGCCATCTGCGAGGGGACTAGTGACATTGTTCGTGCAACACATATATAGATTACATGGAGCACCCCGTAGAATTATCTCGGACAGGGGTGTTCAATTTACGGCTCAATTCTGGCGTAGATTCCTAGCAAGCATTGGGACCACACAAGGCCTGAGTTCAGCATACCATCCTTGCACTAATGGGGCGGCGGAACGGGCTAATGCGGCAATCTCACGATATCTCCGGTCTTATGTATCTCACCAACAGTCAGATTGGATAGACTTCATACCATTCGCGGAACTAGCGTATAACAATGCAGTGCATAAAAGCACCGGGTTGACCCCTTTCCAAGTAGTTTATGGATACGATCCGGTTCCATTACCTGGGGCTGAACCACAGGGGGGTACAGATATACGTCCTGGAGATTGGATGTCCCGTGCAGGTCAGGTGTGGAGTACAGTGAAACAGGCGTTACAACATGCGGAAAAGGCAGTGAAGGAGCAAGCAGATAAAAGTCGTAGAAGGGCAATGCACCTGAGAGTGGGTGACCGGGTGTACTTGTCCACCAAGTATATTAAGTTGCAGGTACCATGCAAGAAACTGGCACCAAAATACATTGGACCATTCCGCATAGTACGTATCATCAATCCTGTTACGGTGCAACTGCAATTGCCAGGAGTACTTGGTAAGATACACCCAGTATTTCATGTGAGTCTATTAAAACCAGTAGAAGGGACCACCCATGATGAACCTCCCCCAGGGCCCGTTGCCCCGGGAAGGTATGAAATACAGGACATACTGGATTCCCGGTGGAGGGGGGGCGATATGTATTATCTGGTTCTATGGAAAGGATACCCCTTATCCGAGGCATCCTGGGTTCGGGAGGGGGATGTCTTCGCTCCTGCCCTGATTCGTCAATATCACAGGCTGTGGCCGCACAAACCGAGGAACACAGGGGGATAGGTGATAGCATACGTGAATGTCTCTGTTTCATTTCAGGGGGCCCTGTGGTGAGGGGGAGCCGGATGTCAGCCCCAGCGTGCATCCTACCCATGTACGGACGTTGGCCGGTCTCCGGAGCTCTGAACCGACTTCCGAACAGCCTTGGTGGAGCCGGAGCTCTGAACCGACTTCCGAACAGCCTTGGTGGAGCTGGATGCGGAGCAGTGTCGGGACTGATACCGGCGCTTCCGCTATGACGGAGGAACCACGTGACTGCTTACTCTATTGCACGGGAAGCCCGGATGAACAGACATTATGTGGGCGGACAGCGCTGATTTATGACGCTGGGTCTGACAGAATGTAATTGATAGGATGATGATAGGGTGTGGTGCAGATGGGGTTGCGTTCAGCAGGGGTAATTAGGTAATTGGGGGTGATTGGGGCGTGCGCGGTGGGTGTGGTGATGGGATTAATAGGACGCTGGGCTGGGGTGTTTCCCAGAGCTGATTTTGTTTTCAACATAGCGAAATAAACCTTTGTTGACTACTGAAACGTACCTGGTGTTCTGGTTGATTCTTACAGCAGCAGGACGTTCTTACAGTAAACATAAAACATGCACAATTATGAAAAAGGCAAGTGTTACATCAAACAATGCATAAGACAATACACAATTTGAGGTTTAATCTTCTGGTTCAGTCTTTCTCAGCAAGGACCAAATCGGTGATCAGCCTGGTACAAGTGTCTTTGAGTCACGACCTGACTCATGTGGCTTCATGATCTGGATCTCAGCTGGGTAACTAGTTCGTCAAGTGGGTGGGCCCGGTGCGCAGGAACCGTGGGCCAATAGTTCTGGTATGCAGTCTTGTCTCCCAATGAGACAAGGTCTTCTTCCTGTGAAGGAAACTGGAACCAAATCTGGAACAGAAAAAACTGGAACCCAAGCTTCTCGGGAATGAGGGGAACTGGATTCACAGGATACTCAGGAACTGAAAAACCTGGAAAGACATAAACAGCTGGATCTGGAAACTCAGGAACAGCTGGGGCTGAAGAATCAAGATCAGGAACATCAGGAAACTCAGGAACAGTCGGAGCTGAAGAATCAGGAACAACAGCTGGGACAGAAGGGTCAGGAACAGCTGGAACTGAAGAGGTTCAATTGTCTAAGCTGGTCTTCCTTAGCAACAGGACTCGGTCAGTGATTAGTCTGGTGTAGAGCTAGTTGCTTGTCGTGATTCCTTAGGCAGCATCTTAGGTTCTAGGTGTAAGGCTGCTGGGTGCCTGTCGCTGTTGCACAGGTGGCATTTCACATTAGCTGTGCAGTCCTTGGCCATGTGATCCACAGAGTCACAGCATTTGAAACATATCCTATTCTCTTTGAGTAGGGTCTTTCAGTCATCTAGGGATTTCTTCCTAAATTCTCTGCAATCATTTAGAGAGTGAGAGAACTTGTGTATCGGGCAAGTTAGGCCTTTGGTAGTTGGATGAGGGTTCGAAAGAGCGCTTCTCGGTGTTTGTTCGTCTGGAGACTTCTTTGGGGAAGGTGTGATGTCAGTTTCATACACCAAAGGTGTGGTTCTGTCCGTAGCTTGGGAAGAACTTTGGTTGGGGCTGAAGTTGTCATTTGTTGGCTCAAAGTTGCTGGCATTATGACGTAG